TGACCAAAGTTGTTGACCTTTTTGAGGAGCAACGCACAAACGAAACACCTGATTGGCGGGCCCGCATCTCAAGCAAACACCACTGCGGGCAGAGCACAATCAAGGAAGTGATACCAACTCAAAGCTGCGTCAGAGACTTAATAATAATAATAATAATAATAATAATAATAATAATAATAATAATAATATATTATTTATACCCCGCCCATCTGGCTGGGTTTCCCCAGCCACTCTGGGTGGCTTCCAACAGAATATTAAAATACAATAGTCTATTAAACATTAAAAACTTCCCTAAGCAGGGCTGCCTTCAGATCTCTTCTAAAAGTCTGGTAGTTGTTTTTCTCTTTGACATCTGGTGGGAGGGCATTCCACAGGGTGGGTGCCACTACCGAGAAGGCCCTCTGCCTGGTTCCCTGTAACTTGGCTTCTCGCAGCGAGGGAACTGCCAGAAGGCCCTCAGCACTGGACCTCAGTGTCCGGGCAGAACTCTAGGGGGCATTTGACCAATGGTGTGTGTGCCAACAGAGAGGGCTCTGAGTGCCCGCTCTGGCACGCTTGCCATAGCTTCACCACCACTGTTCTAGAGGTTCCAGGTGCTCAGCTGAAGTCCTTGTTACCTTTTGGCACAGTAGGGACAGTGGGATCTTTATGATAGAAGGTAAAGGTAACAGACCCCGGAAGTTCTCCCCAGCCACTCTGGGCAGCTCCCAACATATTAAAACATGATAAAAGATCAAACATTAAAAACTTCCCTGAACAGGGCTGCTTTCAGATGTCTTCTAAAAGTCAAATAGTTGTTGTCGTAGTTATGCTTCTCTTCCCCCTCCCCTTATCTTGCAGAGGAACTCATCTGACTAGTTCCACCAGCAAAATTCTCCATTAGATTTTAACCCCTACCGCATTGGAAAGGGACTCAGGGTGCTGTAGCTCTGGAGTAGGGAAGGATTTTCAACCCCATTCATAGCTGTCAAACATCCCTTATTTGGCGGGAAACTCCCTTATCCCAGTGCCGCGTCCCACTGCTGTCCCTTATTGATGATGTCCCTTAAATTTCCCGGGTTTCATGCTCGCCCGGCTCGGGAGGGAAGCAGTGTCTCAGGGTCCTCCGCCGCGAGAGAGAGCGTGTGCACGAGCTGCCTCGTCTCCATCTCTCCCTTTTCCCCCTCCGGGGCGCTTTGTGAGGAGACGGCCGCGCCGCAACCACCTCATGCCGGGCTCATGGGCGGTGAGGGCGAGAGTCTCCCTCCCTCTCGGGCGGGGAAGGGCCAATGGAACTCCTTGCGCCACGACGACGGCAGCCCCAACATGCTGCCTAGCATACCCTCCAACCAGTGCAGCATCTTAATGTTGTGATTTCCCCCTCTGCATCCCATAACTCTATTTTTATAAATCATTTGTCCATCCATAGTTCAAATTTTTACTACAAGTTTTCTGTCAGTCCTACAGAGTATGTAACTCTTTACAATAGCTTTTCAACTAAATTATAAACTTTCCCCATTCTTTATTAAAGAGGTCCTCTTCCTGGTTTCTAATTCTGCCAGTAAGCTTTGCCATCTCAAAGTCATTCATCAGTTTGGTCTGCCACTCTTCTTTGGTCGGAGTTGTAGACCCTTAGGATCATCTAGTCCGACCCCCTGCAAAACACAGTCAGTCGCAGCAAAAGCAGCATGGCTCCATCAGTGCCGGATCTATGTACGTCAAGCAAAATCCCTTATTTTGGCTGCTGATCCCTTATTTTCGAGGCTGCTGGTCCTTTATTTTCAAATCTGTAAGTTGACAGCTATGACCCCGTTCCTTCCTGAGCAACTTTCCGAGGGCGGCATGCCAGCCAGATGGAACAGTAAGCACAGCTCTTTAGCTTTGCGCAGGTGGTTGGTTGCTACACATGTTCAACTTCAAACACCCCTCCCTGTTCTTTGCATAGGTGAGCAGGAGGGCAGTGACAGCCACACCCGCCTGTGGTGTGGTGCAGAGCAAGTGCGTGGCACAGCTTGCACAGCAAACCTTTCGGTAGCGAAAGAGAAGCACAAGCAAATTTTGGAAGACTTCCTGATGATGCACGATTTGGCAGATCCCATTTATTGATTTATTTCATTAAGAATCTAGCCGTGAGCTAAAGGAAAAAAATATAGAATGCATAAAGACATTTTAAAAGGTAGAGGAAAACAACAAGAACAATATGATCTGTACAACAACAACAACAATATATTAAATATACCCCACCCATCTGGCTGGTACTGAAGTCTCATATCGAATATAACTGACCTGCAGAAAGGACTTTATGATATGAAAGTAGAGGCGATCTATGTACTTCCGTAACCCAGGAAAATCTTTAATAAAAACAATTGGGGAAAACAACAACAATATGATCTGTCACTGATGCTTTAGATGAGATTCCTGCATCGCAGAGGGATGGACCAGACTGGAGTCCCTTCCAACTTTACCATTCTACGTTTCTATGATTCTATATGACAACAAAATATAATTAAGATTACAGAACTATGTAACATATATGTAAAAAGGTAAAGGTAAAGGTACCCCTGCCCGTACGGGCCAGTCTTGCCAGACTCTAGGGTTGTGCGCTCATCTCACTCTATAGGCCGGGAGCCAGCGCTGTCCGCAGATACTTCCGGGTCACGTGGCCAGCGTGACAAGCTGCATCTGGCGAGCCAGCGCAGCACACGGAACGCCGTTTACCTTCCCGCTGGTAAGCGGTCCCTATTTATCTACTTGCATCCAGGGGTGCTTTCGAACTGCTAGGTTGGCAGGCGCTGGGACCGAACGACGGGAGCGCACCCCGCCGCGGGGATTCGAACCGCCGACCTTTCGATCGGCAAGTCCTAGGCGCTGAGGCTTTTACCCACAGCGCCACCCGCGTCCCATAACATATATGTAGATGACAACAAAATATAATTAAGATTACAGAACTATGTAACATATATGTAGATGGATGAACTTATTGTTTCCCTCAAATAGACATTGATGCATGACTCACAATGGTTTCAATAAAGAGGTTCATTAAATTTGTCCATGCGTAATCTTTCTCCAAAAGCAATCCGTTCATGGGTTGCAAGAATTCCCATGTCATCTATCCATCAATCAAAAGAGATCATCTTTTTGTCCTTCCAATGTATCAGTATCAATCGTTTTGCAGATGTACAGGGTGTGTAGACTGCTTATAAACTACAAGACTCTCTTAAGACTACAAGCTTATAAACTACAAGACTCTCTCTGTGTGTCATCCATTCTTGGCTTTGCAAAGTCCTAGGTAGATCTCATTGCAACAGAAGAACCTCCTACCTGCTTTGCCTGGGCTGAACAGGACATCTTGAGCTCTCTCTCACACACAAACCCAACCACCCACATTCTTCTTTTAAGAACAAAGTTCGACAAACCCAAGCCCTTGGTTTTTTTCCAGGTAGCTCAAGCCTTCAGCATTTCCTTACATCCTGATACAATCACAAAATCCCAATTTTTCAAACCATTTGACCTTTCCCTGGGCAACAAGTTCTGCCCATACATTGTGAGGTCTTCCTTCTTATGTTACACCGGGGTTAGTTGGCCCACAGTCCCTAGAAATTGGGCGGTCCTTAGGAATTTGGTGGCTACATACGTATGTGTGTATTATTATTATTATTACTACAGTCATACCTCGGGTTACAGACGCTTCAGGTTGTGTGTTTTCGGGTTGCGCACTGCGCCGAACCTGGAAGTACCGGAATGGGTTACTTCCAGGTTTCGGCACTCATGCATGCGCAGAAGCACTAAATCGTGCTTTGCGCATGTGCAGAAGCACCGAATCGCGACCCATGCGTGCAAATGTGCCTCCCACACGGATCATTTTCACAACCTGAGCGTCCACTGTATTATTATTATTATTTATTAAATCTGTAGGTCCCTCCCAATACCAGCAGGACTCAGGGTGGCTCACGCGATAAAACCGCAATATAAAAATGCCAAATGCACAATCCAAATAAAAACAAGAACCACCCCATTATTCCCCCATCCCCGACACACTTTAAAAGGGCATTGAATGTCAGTCAACCAAAGGCCTGGTTAAAGAGGAGCCATTATACACGCTTAAAGGTGTATAATGAAGGCGCCAGGCAAACTTCCTTGGGGAGAGCATCCCACAAATGGGGAGCCACATATATGTGCATTGCGGGGGGTCAGACTAGATGATCCTTGGTGTCCCTTCCAACTCTACAAATCTCTGTTTCTACAATTTTGTTCTGTGAGACCAGCATGCCCACCCACACGGAATGTCTCCCTTCTCCTAGGGTTTCGTTTGGTCTGCTGATTGAGGATGAGGAATAAGGTTGTCTCTGCACTGTGAACTCACATCAGGGCATATTATTATCATTATCATTATTATTATTATTAAAAAATAATAATATGTCAAGGAGATACAGTGGTGGCCCGCAAGACGAATGCCTCGCAAGACGAAAAACTCGCTAGACGAAAGGGTTTTCCGTTTTTTTGAGTCGTTCCGCAAGACGAATTTCCCTATGGGCTTGCTTCGCAAGACGAAACGTCTTGCGAGTTCTTGTGAGTTTGTTTCCTTTTTCTTAAAGCCGCTAAGCCGCTAAGACATTAATAGCCGCTAAGCCGCTAAGACATTAATAGCCGCTAAGCCGCTAATAGCCGCTAAGCCGCTAATAGCCGTTTCGCAAGACGAAAAAACCACAAGACGAAGAGACTCGCGGAACTGATTAATTTCGTCTTGCGAGGCACCACTGTAATTAAACAACTTTTAGAAGACATCTGAAGGCAGCCCTGTATCAGGAGGTTTTCAAAGCCGGCCAAAGTGGTGGGGTATAATAATAATAATAATAATAATAATAATAATAATAATAAAAATGCCACTTGAAAGGCCATAGCTTCCCCTCAAACAAGCCTGAGAATTGCAGTCTGCTCACTTGCAGTGAAACTCTTTCAACACAGAGCCTTAACCACAGCCCCCTGACCCTTGGAAGAAACACGCACGAGTAACATTTCCATCAAGGAACGAATAAAACTTTAATACAGAAACCAGGAACTTCTCAACATCTATATGGGGCTCTCATTCTCCAAAGAGGCAGAATGCTAAACTTCTGCTGTCTATTGCAACAGCCTTGGCTGCTACACTAACTGAAAAATCTGTCTTTCAGACTGAGAAACTCAAAGTTTGACAGCCGTCTCCATTTTCGTTAGCCCAACATCTTACATTGAACTGTGGTCCGGCTCACGCTTAACGTGGCCCAAGGCCACGTTTGAAACAACAACAACAACACCCCACCACCACCCAAGCGAGGACTGGGGACGTGAATGCCACAATACGCTGAGGACTAGCCGCTTGGTAAGTACTCGTCTGTATTAAAACCAGGGTGGAAATGGTTGGGGTTTGGGTGGCTTCTCCGTAGCAATCGCGGGCGTGTGCCCGCCCACCTCGCCCTGCCCTCTCTTCAAATTTTAGCATCCTAATACAATTCAACCGAGGTCAGAGAGGCTTAACCCTTCAGCTGCCGCGAGTAGAAAGGTCCTCATCCTCTTCCTGAGCAACTTGAGGCTGGCACTGGGGACACCACCAGGTAAGTCTTCTCAGTCCATCCGGAGGACCAAAGGCTTCTTTCCTCACCTGGTGCCCTTCAGGGCATCTCTCTTTCTGGTAGATCTGCCAATGTTGCCTCCCTCTCTGCTGCTTGTTGATGAACCACTCCGAGGTGAAGCGAACAGCATGGTCAAGCAGGGATCTGAGTTCCGGGAGTGGCAGGAGGGATCCGAGGGAGAGCGGATGGATCTTCGCTAGGTACAGGGCCTCGTTCTTAATGATATTCCCTGGGATGAAATGTTTAAAACAGGGCATTTAACACCATCAAAACTTGCTAAAATGTATAGGACAAGATCTAGTGAGTGTTGGAAATGTAAAGAAAAGGAAGGTATGGTATCTTTTACCATATGTGGTGGACTTGTAAAGAGGCAAATGTTTTCTGGGAAATGATATACAGTGGTACCTCGGGTTACAGACGCTTCAGGTTACAGACTCTGCTAACCCAGAAATAGTACCTCGGGTTAAGAACTTTGCTTCAGGATGAGAACAGAAATTGTGCGGCGGCAGCAGGGGGAGGCCTCATTAGCTAAAGTGGTACTTCAGGTTAAGAACAGTTTCAGGTTAAGAACGGACATCCAGAATGAATTATAGGTGAAACTCGGAAAATTAGAATATCGTGGAAAAGTTCATTTATTTCAGTAATTCAGTGAAGCACAGTGGACCAACACCAGCTGATTACATGGCTCCCCAAATCAACACAGACTCTGGAAACTTCACACTGGACTTCAAGCATCTGGCATTGTGTGCCCCCCCATTCTTCCTCCAGACTCTGGGTCCTTGGTTTTCAAATGAAATGCAAAAGCTGCTCTCATCAGAAAAGAGATTTGGGGAGCCATGTCATCAGCTGGTGTTGGCCCATTGTGCTTCATTAAGTCCAGGGTCAACACAGCCGCCTACCAGGAGATTTTGGAGCACTTCACGCTTCCTTCTGCAGACGAGCTTTATGGGGATGCTGACTTCATTTTCCAGCAGGACTTTGGCACCTGCCCACACTGCCAAAAGTACCAAAACCTGGTTCAATGCCCATGGGATTACTGTGCTTGATTGGCCAGCAAACTTGCCTGACCTGAATGCCATAGAGAATCTATGGGGCATTGCCAAGAGAAAGATGAGAGACATGAGACCGAGCAATGCAGAAGAGCTGAAGGCTGCTATTGAAGCATCCTGGTCTTCCATAACACCTCAGCAGTGCCACAGGCTGATAGCATCCATGCCACGCTGCATTGAGGCAGTAACTGATGCAAAAGGGGCCCAAACCAAGTACTGAGTACATATGCATGCTTCTACTTCTCAGAGGTCCAATATTGCTCTATTTGCAGTCCTTGTTTTACTGATTTCATTTAATATTCTAATTTTCTGAGATTGTTAATTTGGGGTTTTCATCAGCTGTACGCCATGATCATCACAATTATAACAAATAAAGGCTTGAAATATCTTGCTTTGCATGTCATGAGTCTATCTCATATATAAGTTTCACCTTTTAAGTTGAATTACTGAAATAAATGAACTTTTCCACAATATTCTAATTTTCCGAGTTTCACCTGTAAGTTCTTAACCTGAGGTACCACTGTATAATGAGTGAAATAAAATGTTTAAAAACACTTTTGTTAAAAAAAACCAGAAGCCTTTTTACTGGGTATAGTAGGCAAAGAGATACAAAAAAAAGACACTCCTTCAGGTATATTGGGCCAAGGTCATTTAGGGCTTTAAAGGTCAGCACCAACACTTTGAATTGTGTTCGGAAATGTACTGGGAGCCAATGTAGATCTTTCAAGACCAGTGTTATATGGTCTCGGTGGCCACTCCCAGTCACCAGTCAAGCTGCTTCATTCTGGATTAGTTGCAGTTTCCAGGTCACCTTCAAAGGTAGCCCCACATAAAGTGCATTGCAGTAGTCCAAGTGGGAGATAACTAGAGCATGCACCACTCTGGTGAGACAGTCTGTGGGCAGTTAGGGTCTCAGCCTGCGTACCAGATGGAGCTGGTAAACAGCTGCCCTGGACACATTGACCTGTGCCTCCATGGACAGCTGTGAGTCCAAAATGACTCCCAGGCTGCGCACCTGTTGCCCCATTCAGGACCAGGGAGTCCATCACACCCACCCGCCTCCTTGCCCCCAAAAAACAGTACTTTTGTCTTGTCAGGATTCTACCTCAATCCATTAGCCGCCATCCATCCTCCAACCGCCTCCATCTCACACAGGACCTTCACCACCATTCTTAACCTGAAACTGTTCTTAATCTGAGGTACCACTTTAGCTAATGGGGCCTCCCGCTGCTGCCACGCAATTTCTGTTCTCATCCTGAAGCAAAGTTCTTAACCCGAGTTACTATTTCTGGGTTAGCGGAGTCTGTAACCTGAAGCATCTATAATGTGAAGCATCTGTAACCCCAGGTACCACTGTACATTTTTTTATTGCTTTCATTTTATGGATCAATGGTCTCCTTAGATAGTAAAATTCATGTCAAATTGTTTTAGGGGTTGTTTTTAACAGTCTGGAACGGATTAATCCATTTGGCATTACTTTCTATGGGAAAGCGCGCCTTGGTTTCGGAATGCTTTGGTTTTGGAACGGACTTCCAGAACGGATTATGTTTGAGAACCAAGGTACCACTGTACTGGGAGGAAAACTAAAGAGATACTGCACAACCTGATACATACCAAGCCCTGAGAAATATCTTTGGTCCAGGAGGGTGTGGCACACAGGTACAGCTTTGCACAGGGCCCCCAAAGCGCGTTCCTGATCAAACTCCAAGCTCAGGATGTCAGTAGCCGGCTCAGCGATAGGAGAAGAACAGCTATGGATCCGGCAGTTATAAAAGACAAGGAAGCCCCCTCCATCAAAATGCAGAACAAGCCTGAAAGTCGAACGAAGAATATCTTATTATCTTAGAATAGGGGTGGGGAAACATTTTGGTCTCTATGATCCAGAGTCTTATTGTGATCCGGCCAAATCTGAGAAGCAGGGACCACCTGCATGTCAATCAATTGGTGTCAGATGATTGACAGGTGGGTGGCTCCACTCATCTTTCCAAATCCCACGTGCAGGGTCTGAAAGCATCAGGCAGACATGGGCTGTTGGTAGTCCTTCTACTGTTTGCAAAGGGGTTTTAAGACAGGTCACCCTGCTCTGCTGTCTGCGTCAAAGGGGACCTGTCTGAAACCCCTTTGCAAAAGCACTATTTGAAGCAATGTCCCCTTCCTTTTAACATTGCTCAGCAATGTTTAGAAAGGGGCTTTGCAAAACTGCAGACTGAAGCATCCTCCCCTCAACTCCACCCCGCCCAGCCAATGTTTGAAAGAGGCGGGGAGACTGCTTTAAAGAGCCTGCAGAGGTTCAAAACAGAGCCCAGGGACTCTTAAAGAGCTCCACAAAAGCGCTCTTTGAAGCAGCTGCACACTTCTCCTTCAAGTGAGCAACAGGAGAGAGGACACACTGCACAGACTCCTCTGTCCTACCTGCTTGCTTAAATTAGAAGTCCAAGCCAGACGAGGCGGATTTTGGTAATATGGCACCCTGAACAAGGAGGAAATTTAGTCCCCCCATCCCTAAATATTTCCTATTTACACAATAATTCTTTTTGGTAAAGTTACATTTTTGTGGATCTTCTCAGTAGGTACTCATATAAATGTTGTTGTTGTTGTTGTTGTTCTGTGCCATCTTAGCTTGATGCCCGGTACGGGGAACTGCCTGCACAACCCTAAATCTGGCCCTGACCCAGCCAATCAGCTGATGGGTGGCTGGACGTGTTTTTGCAAAAAGATTAGCCCGTGAACCAAAGGTTCTGCACCTCTGGTTTAGAAAAAGTATAAACTGCTGCCTTGGTCTATTTGCCAGTGCTTGAAATCCATGTCACTGTAGGCTAACACTTGCATTAGGACCAGCTGAGACTTATGGCAGTTTTTGCTCACAACTCTGTGCAAACAGGAAGCTACCTGGGCCTATTTTTTGTGTGGCATCTGCACAGTGTAGCACTTATCAAATTCATACCTGGGAACCGGATCTTTCCAGTCCCCTCTTTTATTAGCCTTGTTGGCCCTTGCAAACTCATTGGCACGGATGCTCCCATACAGCCAAAAGTGGAATCGTAGCCATTTCCAAGGGGGTCCAGCAGCGTCGTCCATAAATGACGGCAAATCAGCTTCATGCTCCTCCTGCAGGGGGCGCCGCGGACTCCCAGAGTCGGCCTTGCCTCCTTCCCAACTCTGGAGAATGGGACTGCCTCTGCCACGGCCCATCCCTTGGCTGCTTGACCCGGGTTCGGAGGTTCTGTAGACGAGTCCTCGCTGCTGGGCGCTGCTTCCTGAACTCCACCAAAAGCCAGGAACAAATTCTTCCCATGGACCTGAAAAAAATCGGGGATATCAGAAGGCACCATTTTCTGCGTATTCTGTTTCACACTGTATTCATCATAGAGATGTAAAATTTCAGAAGCTGCGCCTTGGTTTTCAAACGTTTTGGAAGTCAAACGGACTTCCGGAACAGATTAAGTTTGGTGCTTTTGTTTTTGCTATTTATTTTGTGTTTTTGTTTCCGAGGCCTTTTCGGTTCATTTGTGACTGTGTGGATGATGATTTTTATCATCTACAATACTGCCTTTTTATTTTATAGTACAGTACATTGATTATTGCTTTCATTTTGTGGATCAATTTAGGTAAAAAAAAGGTAAGGTAAAGGACCCCTGGACGGTTAAGTCCAGTCAAAGGCGACTATGGGGTTGCGGCGCTCATCTCGCTTTCAGGCCGAGGGAGCCGGCGTTTGTTATGTTGAAATTCTTAATAAAAATTATTTTTTAAAAAAAAGAAAGGGAAAAAAATAATAATATTGCTGTAAGTTGGTGGGCACTAGACTTGACCTAAATTTCTGGAATCAAGTGGGTGCTAGAATTTAATTAATGCTTGGAGTATTAAAGCTAGGTTGGCACACCCAATGTGTTTTTAAGCTGTTGGGCACGTCAACAGCTACTAAAGATAAGCTGCTTTGACATTGGTATTGGGTGTTTCTAAATCCTCTGAAATTAGCATGTACTGTATTAAGTTTTAATTAGGCTAAGCTCAAGATGATGCTTTGAGTGATGTAAAGGTAAAGGGACCCCTGACCATTAGGTCCAGTCCTGGCCGACTCTGGCGAACCAGAGCAGCGCACGGAAACCCCGTTCACCTTCCCGCCAGAAGTGCTTCAGGTTGTGATTCAGGTCTCCTCCGAACGGACCCCGTTCGCATCCAGAGGTACCACTGTACACAAGGTATTTGGGGGAGCCAAATGGGTGCGAGACTCACCTGAGTGTCTTGCAGCACCAGCCCCTTCAGATCATCCGGGTTCATCTGCTTCGTGCTTCCCCCTACTTTGGTCACGGCCTGCCCCACAAATGGGGAGCACTGAAGCTGGAACCTCTTCACAGTCGGGCCCTCGGGCATCGCTGCAGGAGAGGGAGAAAGTTGGGGGGTGGCAGCCGAGTCCCTGAAGCTGAAAGGGGCCAAGTTACATTTTTTGCACCATAACACTCACTTTTTTCCTCCTAAAAAGTAAGGGGAAATGTCTGTGCGTGTTATGGAGGGAATGCCTACGGGTGGCATGCCTATGGATTTTCCTCCTCTAAAAACTACGTGCGTGTTATGGTCGGGTGCGTGTTATAGAGCGAAAAATACGGTAAGCACTCAAAGACACAGCTCTTGTGCAATGGACTTTCCACCAAGAGGGCCAACTCCAAGCCTGTACTTTTTCAGCAAAATTTTTCAGTAGGGGGCCAGTCCACTGTCCCTCAGACCTTGTGGGGGGGCCGGACTATATTTTTTTTTGGGGGGGGAGGAATGAATGGATTCCTATCCCCCACAAATAACCCAGAGATGCATTTTAAATAAAAGTACAAATTCTACTCATGTAAAACACGAGGCAGGCCCCACAAATAACCCAGAGATGCATTTTAAATAAAGGGGCACATTCTACTCATGTAAAAACACGCTGATTCCCAGACCGTCCGGGGGTTGGATTTAGAAGGCAATTGGTACCCATGATGTACAGGCACAAAAAATTGTGGAATATAAAGAATAATAGAATCGCAGAATCATAGAGTTGGAAGGGGACCGTGGGTCATCTAGTCCAACCCCCGCAATGCAGGAACCTCAGCTAAAGCGTCCATGACAGATGCCCATCCAACCTCTGTTTAAAAACTTGCAAGGAAGGAGAGTCCACAACCTCCCGAGGGAGACAGTTCCACTGCTGAACAGCTCTTGCCCTCAGAAAGTTCTTCCTGACGTTTAGTCAGAATATCCCTTCTTGTAACTTCAATCTATTGGTTCGGGTCCTACCCTCCAGAGCAGGAGAAAGCAAACTGGATCCATCCTCCATATGAAAGCTGTTTAGATCAGGGATAGGCAATACTCTGACAGGTGCAAACTGTTTCACATTTGCAAGAAATCTGCCTTTTGGTGCAACAGCGCTTACACTTTGGAACTCCTTGCTGATTGATAACAGGCAGGTGGCTTCACTGTACTCTGTTCAGCACTTGTTAAAACCATTTTGGTTTCCAGAAGACTACCCAGGTACAGTGGTACCTCAGGTTAAGTACTTAATTCGTTCTGGAGGTCCGTACTTAACCTGAAACTGTTCTTAACCCGAGGCACCACTTTAGCTAATGGGGCTTCTTGCTGTTGCCGCGCCGCCGGAGCACGATTTCTGTTCTCATCCTGCAGCAAAGTTCTTAACCCGAAGCACTATTTCTGGGTTAGCGGAGTGTGTAACCTGAAGCGTATGTAACCTGAAGCGTATGTAACTCGAGGTACCACTGTATCTGGAATGTTGATGTGGTGTCTAAATCTGCTTTAAGTTTATTACTTTTTAAACGTTGATTTTAACCATTTCATTCTTTTTGCAACTGACACTTTGACAGGTGCAAACTGTTTCACATTTGCAAGAAATCTACCTTTTGGTGCAGCACCGCCTGCACTTTTCTTGTTGAGTTTTTAAAAAAACAATTAAACGGTGAAGCTCGTGCGGCTGACATATTCCTGTATTGCAGGTGGTTGGACTATAAATAATCCTCAGGGTCGCTTCTAACACTGCAATTCTATGATCCTATCATCTCCTCCGATTTCGCAATCAAGCTCTGGCATGGATAGTACGTCCGGAAAGCTTCCACGTCCAACACGTGTACGTGTTCACATCCCTCGACGATTGCAGAGGTCAGATAGCACCCCCACCCTCCCCCCGTGAACACAATGCTTTGCCGAAGGAAGCCGTGCACACGTGTACCCCGCGTGTCAGAGCCGCCACGCGCATAAGCGGGAAGCAACTGAACGTGTGAACGTGTGCTCAGCCAACCTGGTTTCTCTCTGGCTCTCTCTCTCTTTTTAGGCTTCTGCGCTCTGATCATGGGATTTTTGGGGGGGGAGGAATCCGGACTCGATACCTTTCCAGGGATGCGAAACTAACTTTCTCAAAGCAGCTGCTCCGGCAGACGCACTCAGCAGAGCACCGAACTGCGCGTCTCCGGAGCAATCGATGCCAGAGCGCCCCGCCCTGCCCCACCCCTTTTGGGCTACGCTCTTTCCTTGCAGCTGTTCATGGTGATGTCTCTCTGAGCAGCTGATTTCTCCCAAAATGCCACCTAGAGGTCAGGACAAGTCCCTTCAGGGTTGTTGTCCTCTTGGTGTTTTTTTAAAAAAAACCACTTTAGTACTTACCTTGCCAACAAAGGTCCGTATAGTTAAAGCTATGGTTTTCCCAGGAGTGATGTATGGAAGTGAGAGCTGGACCATAAAGAAGGCTGATCGCCGAAGAATGGATGCTTTTGAATTATGGTGCTGGAGGAGACTCTTGAGAGTCCCATGGACTGCAAGAAGATCAAACGCATCCATTCTTAAGGAAATCAGCCCTGAGTGCTCACTGGAAGGACAGATCGTGAAGCTGAGGCTCCAGTACTTTGGCCACCTCATGAGAAGAGAAGACTCCCTGGAAAAGACCCTGATGTTGGGAAAGATGGAGGGCACAAGGAGAAGGGAATGACAGAGGACGAGATGGTTGGACAGTGTTCTCGAAGCTACCAGCATGAGTCTGACCAAACCGCGGGAGGCAGTGGAAAACAGGAGTGCCTGGCGTGCTCTGGTCCATGGGGTCACGAAGAGTCGGACACGACTAAATGACTAAACAACAACACTTTTGCACTTTGGGCTTTGTGCCTCTGAGCACGCACAGAGCGTTTATCCCGCCCTGCGTGGGAGACAGGTGATTTTAAAAATACTGAAGGGATTCTGATAATGTGCAAATTGCTGTTTTTTTAAAATGGAAAAGAACTTTTAAGGGAATGTGATGAGAGAGGGTTTTCTGAACATGTGCAGAGTGCAAAACAACCAAAACTGCCCACCCCTTTTGCCTGCCTTCCTTTCCTTTACATCCCCCTGTTCTGGAAGTTTTGCCAAGACCATAAAACTTTGTCCCTTGGGGAATCTTCAGTTCATGTCCCCTATGGCTCACCTGGTCTCCACAAGCTCACCTTCTGTATCCCTGGTTCATTTGTAGAACAGAAATGGGGGAGCCTCAGACCTGGTAGCCAGTTGTGACCCCTGTCTCCCTCCTATCTGGCCCTCAGGACGCTCCCCTAGCTATACACCCTTCCCAAGCCGCACCCCTCATTGGGATTGGCCAGTCCCTCCTCAAATTCTGTTGTGACCAGCTGGAATGTAGCCTATTGCACAAAGTCGAAGATGTTGCCCCGCCCACTTTTGCATCTAGGCCCCGCCCACCGCTGTCCTGCGACCACTGGTTAGTTTCCAGGAGGGAATCCGGCCCCTGAGCTAATCCCACCACTTTTCATGAATGAGACCGTGCAAAATAGCCAGAATGAATTGTATGAGGAGAGTGAATGTGGCGTAGTAGTTAAGACCTGGGAGATACGGGTTCAAATCCTCACTCAGCCATGAAGCTCACTGGGTGAGCTTAGGCCACTCGCTGTTGCTCAGCGTAACCTCACTGGGTTGTTATGAGGATAAAATGAGGGATGGAAAACCATACAGATGTCAAAGAGAACAACAACTACCAGACTTTTAGAAGAAATCTGTAGGCAGCCCTGTTTAGGGAAGCTTTTAATGTTTGATGCATTACTGTATTTTAATATTTTGTTGGAAGCCGCCCAGAGTGGCTGGGGAAGACCAGCCAGATGGGCGGGGTATAAATAATAAATTATTACTATTACTATTACTACATAGTATGCTACCTTGAGCTCATTGACTGAGAGGTGGGTTGTAAACGCGATAAATTAAATAATGGGGGTGTGGTGTGGTGTGGTATGAGGGGAGAGACTCCAGCAGGCAAGGCCTCCTTTCACCTGCCTTGCCCCACTATCTACTACTCAATGGGTATTGTATTGCATAGCTGTCACAGATTTGAAAATAAGGGACCAGCAGCCTCGAAAATAAGGGATCAGCAGCCAAAATAAGGGATTTTCCGGGCACAGGTATGTTCAACTTCTGAGCCCCTCTGAGCCAAAGGCAGAAAGCCCAGCCAGCAGCCAAACGAAGCCTCATCAATAAGGGACAGCAGTGGGACATGGCGCTGGGATAAGGCACTGTCCCGCCAAATAAGGGACGCTTGACAGCTATGTTGTATTGATTTATGTACTGTGGCTTGCCATTGTTTTACTGATTATAGTTTAGATATTATTGTAACTGTTGAGTGGATTTCTGTTTAACTTTTATATGTCGATATTATTATTTTATACTATTCTAATGATTGTTGAATGTTACTTTTTTGATGGAGGTTGCCTACTTCAAAGTTATGTTTCATTATCACATTTTTGTATTGCATTAGATGTACATTTTTTGTTTCTTCAGCTTGTAAACCGCCTTGAGTATTGTAAGATAGAAAGGCGGTATACAAATTAAAAATGATGATGATGATATGAATCATGCAAAACAACGTAAATGATGCACCTATGCTGAACTTCCGTAACTCACCCAGAGTTCAGCTTCTCTTGGTGCAAAATGTGAGTTTTCAACCTGCAAAATGTTTGAAACCATATCAGATCCTGCTTCACATTGCAAATGTGCTCGCAGTTGCAGTATGTACTAGCGAGTTTTGTTGCTTTCTAGTGTGCGTGTGCATGCGTAGAACTCCGGATTTTTGGCACCCTCATCGCTGCAGCGAAGAGATGTTGAGAAGCGAAAGGACAAAGAAGAAAGACGTTCTCGATTTGGAAATGAATGCCTGTCCATTTATTTCCGTTCATTCTAACAGGTGAAGTCAGTATGCAGATCGGTAGTCATATTGCATCGTAATACAGAGAGAGATATTCACACGTATATATTATAACTTTAAATAATCTTAAACTTGTTCGGGCTCCTGCCTCGCCATCGACCATTCAAGCAAGCATCTTATTGGAACGGCACCTTTCCACAGACTCTTATCACGCAAAAATATATGGATTGTTTTTATTATTATTATTAAAGAAATGGTATGAATGTCACTTAAAGTTACCAGCCAGTTTATAGGCCCAAAGATGCTGGTCAATTTCCCCTAGCCTAACCATCCAGGGCTGCCAACTAGGGCGAACTACGTTCAAAGAAGTTCAACTTGTAGTTCAAAGTAGTTCGACTTGGAGGTGGTCAACCTGTTTCTGGACTCCAGCACTTCCACCTGCAGGTGGGGCTCACATATTCAAATGCTTCAAACTCCCTGCACGTAGAAAACTAGCAAGTCAGGGAGAAACATTCCCCTCCGGCCCTCTCCCTGAGAAGCTAGTTTTCTAACTGCAGGGGGCGTCTGTTAACTTCTTTATTTACAGCATGGTGGAAGTCTTGCGTAATACGACCGACCTCCTGCAGCCTGGCGCGGTAAAGGCACAGGTTTGCATCCTCAGCTAAGCTCCAGCATGGGTCACCCAGAACACATCGAGATTTGGCTGTCACTTCTTTTGTAAAAATACATGGAAATTCAACAGGTGAAGCGTTTCTTGGCACAGAGTGATGCAAACAATGGGGAGGGCCACTTCCCCATTCGACATTTCTCCAGCTCTCTGCAGCCTACCTGGTTACCTGAGCTTCCTGATTTATTTATCTTTAAGAAAAGCCGCATGGGAAGAGTCACAGATTCATAGAATTCAAAGGGACCCAAAGGGTCATCTAGTCCAACCCTCTGCAATGCCTTACTTATGACATCTACCCCTGGGCATGAACTGAAGCATAGAAAACTGGGGAAGCCAGCTACCAAGTGCTGGAGATCAGGGTGCCTGCTGATTTTGTTTTTAAGGGAAGTCTTCCCCTTTATACTTTTTTTTAAAAATCCACATGGATTTGTTTAAAAGTTAATAAAATTTCATGCAACCCCCCCCCCAAAAAGAGCAGTTCCAGAATAGAGAGTACCTGACCTTCTCGTGCAAATGGGAAAGCCAACTTGAGAATGCCATGAGGTTTGGGGAAACACAGGCAAACAGCAAAGCTGAAGAGTCCAACACATTCTTTTGCAGAAGGAAACAAACCCCTCAGTTACCCTGAGAGTAAGGTAAAAAAGGTAAAGGGACCCCTGACCATTAGGGCCAGTTGTGGCCGACTCTGGGGTTGCGGCGCTCATCTCGCTTTACTGGCCGTGGAAGCCAGCTTACAGCTTCCGGGTCATGTGGCCAGCATGACTAAGCCGCTTCTGGCGAACCAGAGCAGCGCACGGAAACGCTGTTTACCTTCCCGCTGGAGTGGTACCTATTTATCTACTTGCACTTTGATGTGCTTTCGAACTGCTAGGTTGGCAGGAGCAGGGACCGAGCAACGGGAGCTCACCCCGTTGCGGGGATTCGAACCGCCGACCTTCTGATCGGCAAGTCCTAGGGTCTGTGGTTTAACCCACAGCGCCACCCGCATCCCGAGAGTAAGGTATGCACAGCAAAAAGCCACAAGAATTTCACCCAAGTTTTTCTACCGCTTTCATAATTTCAGAAAGCAATTTCTTTCCCCCTATAAACTGATGGATGGCACCTCCCTCTGGCGATGGATCAGGTCCCTGCCTGTCTTTTGCCTCCTCTCCAGGAGGAGGAGCCACCCTTCTCCCCAGACCAGCTGTCAGAGCAAGGACAAATCCTGCACCCTATAATAAGCCTCTGGAAATGGCTGGAGCTGGAACATGGGATAAATTTTCAGCGCAGCTGAATTTTAGGGCACAAGTTTTGAGTAATGTACTATATTAAAAAGAAAAGGAAAAAACAGCCCTGTGGGATGAAAATCGCATGCCCGTTCCATCTCCGCAGATCTCGGCATGCTCCGCATATGTACAAAAGAAGGCTCCCTTAGAGAAGCGTCTGAATGATGCAAAACATTATTTTTAAAAATGAAAATGCAGCCAAACCCTGGCACTGTCCCCTGGGTTTTGTAACCAGTGTGCTCAACTCGAATTAATGCATGGAAGGATTAAGACCATAGTGAATGCTGTCCTGCAAGGTTTGACAAGGTCACCTCTGCTCACATTCAAAGGGAGGGCTATCAAACTCTCGGTTCTCCCACTTTCCACCACACTTGTATCACGTGAACCCTTCCGGTAAGGAGACCGTGTGGCTTAAGCAATCCATCTTCGTGTTTCTATACAATTAATTTAGGAACCCTTACCACTTTGGAACTAATCTTAAGTTTGACTGCCCGTGTTTTCTGACTGATGTATGGAAA